CAGTGGGGCTCTCAGGTGGTCAGTGTGGGCTCTCAGGTGGTCAGCGGGGCTCTCAGGTGGCCAGTGCGGGCTCTCAGGTAGTCAGTGTGTGCTCTCAGGTGGTCAGTGGGTCTCTCAGGTAGTCAGTGTGTGCTCTCAGGTGACCAGTGGGACTCTCAGGTGGTCAGTGTGGGCTCTCAGGTGGTCAGTGTGGGCTCTCAGGTGGTCAGTGTGGGCTCTCAGGTGGCCAGTGCTGCTGCCATGAAACCCGGACACAGCATTCAAAACCAGGACTGTCCGGGTGAATCCTGGACAGGTGGCAACCCTAGCTGCACCCCCAGCTGCTGCAAGCAACCAGATGGGTCGCACTCTTGCTTTCTTGGTTCCTCCTACTGGCTACTGGGCCCCCACTGTGCCCCGGGCCCCATAGCGGCCGCCTGGGTCGCTATGGTGATGGTTACGCCACTGTTCCCTACCTACCCATACATCATTCTGTTGCCCCCACTAAGGCATAGCTGCCACACCCTCCCCCCTCGATAAGGAAAGCCTGTGCGGTCACATGACCATTGAATGAGGGTAGCATTTATGGGAAGTGCAACCTTTATTTTTAGCAACGGCACTTTAGATTGATTTAGGAATTTGTGCTCCATGGGGCTGCTTAAGTGATTGGGAAGATTCGGGGAAACAACGCGATGTAACAGCCTCGGAACGCGGGATGATTGTTGGCGCTCGGAGCCATGGAGCGAGTATCAGCAAAACAGCAGAATGCGTTACATGTTCAGGAGCAGCTCATTGTTAAAGTGTTTAAAGACTTTTTGGTACAGTAAAGAATTTGACCATTAAGGCCAATCTGATGTTGCAGAAGTCACTAAGCGACTCTAAGGCCCCATTCACACAGGAATTGTCCGTCACGTGCAGCACCGTATCGGGCAGCTCCCGGGAAGGACGGGTGCTGAGTGTGATTAGTACGCAGCCCCCGTCCTTCTCTATGGGACTACGCGGCCGTACGCCCCCCTACGCTCACCTCAAGTGCAGGTCCGTAGGGGTGCGTGATTCATCCTGTCAGCGTACGAGTACGCTCACTCGCACCCGCACGGACGGGCAGGGCGGGTGAGCGTAGGGGGGCGTACGGCTGCGTAGTCCCATAGAAAAGGACGGGGGCTGCGTACTAATTACTCGCAGCACCTGTCGTTCCCAGGAGCTGCTCGGTATGGCAGTGCACGCAGCACGGAGCTGTACGTGCCGCCCGATCCCTGTGTGAATGAGGCTTTAGGAGATCATTTATAGACAAGTCTGCATAGTAAATAGCTACGTGAATGAGGGTTGCAGCACATTGTGACCACTAGATGGAGCCGGGGAGCACAGAATTCTGCCAGTTCCCCACGTGTTCCTCCAGCATTATGACCACGCCAAGCATGGAAGAAGGACACCATGCTCGTACTCAGCCTGGTTGATACCCTCCCCCTGCCCAGCCCAGCCCTGCTCCTTTTCATTGACAGTGGCTACTAATAAGAGCTTCACTTTCAGAACCAGAACCCTGCAGTAGCGTGAAATACACTGTGGAATTCATAAATGGTACACGAGGAACTACATTCCCTACCAGGGGCGTAACTAGAAATCACGGGGGCCCCGTAGCAAAATTTTGTAGGGGGCCCCGTGATTTCTAGTTATACCCCCTGCAGAGCCCACTCGAGATCACCTGCAGAGCCCACCATAGAGTCTCTATGGTGGGCTCTGCAGGGTCACCCTCAGGTGGGCTGGTCGCACTCCTTACCTGTCCGCCTCCTCTTAGTCCTCGGTCGCTGATGGGCCCCTCCTCCTTCTTCGTCACCGGGCCCCCGCCTCCTCCCCTGCTGCCGACCAC